CTGCCTTTTACCTTCAAAGCAGCACCTGGGATTTTGGCAGAGCCACGCACCTCTAGGTGAAAGCCCTTCTTGCCTGCTACTCTGATCTGATCCATTTCTCCAGCTCACCCACCCATGTTTTCTACCATGTGCCTGTATAAGTAGGGGATACCCCATGAGCTGTGGTTAGCACAGGATGGACAGCTGCCCTGTTCAGCTAGCAAACATTGTAGCAGGATTCCTGGGCTTCTCTCACTTTCAGTAGCACTGTAGTTAAACAAAATTTTATTCACAGCTTGTACTCACTTCAGTGCTCCAACATCTCAATCTGCTAGCAAATTATACATCACCTACCACATGTTGCTAATAAGACACAACACTCAGAAATTTCATCTCTTCTTCATTCACTTTGAAAGGAAGAAAAAGGTTCTTACCAGCCATCCTGAACCATTGCTCTAGCTGTGAATGCTTCAATCAGGAAACACCCTTTTACTCTCAACCTCTCCATGCTTTTCCTTTTAGCAGATGATACATTAGTTCTGCTTTGTGCCTAAGCACCCTTAGGAGAGTGCTTCTAATGGATAATTAACAACACTTAATTATTCTTCCAGGTAGCTGGACTGCATTTATTTATTAATATTGCAGCATCATGCTCAGGGACTGGGAAACTTAAGGCAGTCTATTCGGTGAGTTGTATCTCCCTCCTACGCTCAGGCTCCCAGCCATATGCAGAGAATTCTTCTGTCAGCAAGTCTCACCTCTGCTCATCAGCTCTGCAGATGATGCAGAGCCGATACTGAAGCTGCTGTTTTACCTGTGTCATAGCATCTACAACTGCAAGGCACAGGCTTGAAACCCCTCCAGGGCAGGCCTCAGAGCAGGAGGAGGCATCAGAGGCAGCCTTGCATGAGCAGGTCCAGAGCAGGCAGTGCAGGGTCAGGAAAGCCTGAGGGGAGGCTTCTCTCCTTCCTCACGTTGCAGCCTCCTGCTGAGGAGGCATCTGGTCTACACAGATGGGTTGGGCCGACCCAAAACCATTTCCTGCAGTCTGTCTTCCCACCTGCCACACGGAACTGCACTGTCCCCCTGAGCTGCGCCAAGGCTGGGGTTTAAGCACTCCCGCCGGATCAATGATAGCAAACCACTTCGAGCAGCCCTCAAACTCGGGATGTTTCCCCGTTAACCTTCAGGATGACTTCAAGAGCTCCTCACCCACACCTCCCGTCACCTTCAGGTCGACGGGAGCCCACCTTCCCTGCAGACTGCTGGGAGCCGGCACGGCCGGTGAGGCCGAGAGGGCCGAGGAGGGTGAGGCGGGGGAGGCG